AGAGAGAGAGAGAGAGAGAGAGAGAGAGAGAGAGAGAGAGAGAGAGAGAGAGAGAGAGAGAGAGAGAGCAGTGGTTTCAACCAATAGGAGCTTCAGCACAGACAGTGGTCAGTGTTATCTGAAAGCAACCAGCAGTCACAGGATTTTATTATCTGATCTTTAACAGCGCCACAAACTAACGGAACAAGATTCCAAACAAATGTCACGAATCAAATATTCAGATTTATTTTAGATAATCAAGCCAAAAATGTACTTTGTTTACGACCTAATGTTCTCTTGCTTTTGAGTCGTACACACTTTAATGTGAAGTTAGATAATATATGGATTGGATATGATTTGGACTTAAAATTAAAAGTGATCTTCTTAGGTTATCATTCGCTGTATATTTAAGTACATAAACACGATTAGGTGCACCTTGCTAACATCGGTCTATTCCAATATTATATTATAATAAGACTATTTTATCGAGGTGTTGAGTCATTACGAGGGTCTGATTTGTGCTGTTGTATTGTTGACTTTCTAATATTTAGTCATGTAAAAACTGTGCTTCTGACACTTCTGCAATGTAAATTACTTAATAAACAGCAAAAGAGACCTTCAAAAGTCTCCTTTCAACAATAACAGTAAACCAGATTATCTCTAGAAGGACGTTGCTGTTTTAATCTCACTATTTAAAAAAGGAGTTCACTATTTGTACCATGTCACCCTCCACTGATATCTGGTCACATATAACACGAGAAACCTTTTGTGATAGTATTGTTCTGAGAGTCAGAGTGACATTCCTGATTAAAAAGCAATCTGTAAAATACCAAATATCTGATTGAAACTGCCCCTGATTGTTCCTCCTGGTTTATTAATGCACCACCAGCCTGTGGTGAAGAGACAAGGAAACAAGGAGAAGAGGAGAGTAAGAGACCAGTAGACGAGGAAACAAGGACATTTGGAGACAAGGAGAGGAGTAGCCAAAGAGCTAAGGAGACAAGTAAATGAAGAGACCAGGAGATGAGGAGAGGAAGGGATGAAGAGAGCAGGAGACAAATAGATGAGGAGACCAGGGGAAGAAGAGCTGGCTTGGCGACCGTGGATAAGTGGAGAGCTGGGTCGTCCTTCAAATCAGAGAATCGGCGGTTCGATCCCCGGCTCCAGCTCTGCTAGTCGCATGTCGATGTGTCCTTGAGCAAGACACTTAACCCCAAAATAGCTCCCGTAGCCTACGGTGTATGAATAGAATCGGAATTGTAAGTCGCTTTGGATAAAAGCGTCTGCTAAATGACTGTAATGCAATAATTTACTAAATGAACATCATGCTGTATTGGAGAAGACTTGAAACTAGAGATTGAGACCATAAACTCATGTTTGCAATGTTTACTGAGGTAATAAATCAAGAGAGAAGTAGAGTCATTTTCTCATAGACTTCTGTACAACCAGAGGAGTCAGTGCTGTGGTGCGTTCAAGCTCCAACATCCGTGTCCATCAGAGCTCACTCACCGCTATCAGGGTGCTGTTCCGGCTCTGCTCCGCCGTCGTTCCTCCGCTTTCTCCGAGCTCTGCACCACCTCCACCTCCACCCGGTGCTCTCTGCCCGGCCTGGTCTCCGCTGGCCTGCGGCTGGGTCTGCCGGTGCTTGTTGGACCGCTTAGCTTTAGCCTGCAAGCAGCGTTGGTGCAGAGCGAAGGTCTGCTGCCTCTCGAGCTCCAGCCGCTCCAGCGTCGCGTTCTCGTAGCGGCTCTCGCAGCTGTTGTGATGCTGCCGGAAGAGCTCGATCCTCCGGCGGAGCCTCTCCATCACCGCGCTGTGTCGCGGTGTAACAAAATCCGCCATCATCAATATATAAAAAGGAAGAAAAAAAAAACTACCCCGACTCAGGTTTCGTCCATAAAAATGCTGATTTTTGGGCTCTTTTCTTGCTACTCTATACTCCTAATGCTGATATTTGAGCTCTTTTCTTGCTACTCTATACTCCCGCCAATGCTGATTGTTGGGCTCTTTTTTTACTACACTATACTCCCCCTTATGCTGTTTTTTTGGGCTCTTTTTTTGCTTCACTATACTCCCCCTAATGCTGATTTTTGGGCACTTTTTCTTGCTACACCCCCCCTTCCCTTTACAAAGACTCCCGTACTGGCTCCATGGAGGCGACCTTTGTCTTGCTAATGGCCTTCAGTCACACTGCCAAAAAACGGAAAATTAAGGTTTTTTTTACTCACTATATTCTGATTAAATACAACAGCTCGTTTAACTTGCTGTGTCAATAAAAGAATAAAAACAGAGCTACTGGAGTCTTGTTAGAGCCACATTACGCCCGAGTTTAACCCAGAGAAACCTCTGATTAATCTCTGCGGTATATATAAAAAAACAACAAACCAAAGCTACTTTTATGTAATTAATACAATTACACTACTTTCATATAAATGAACCAGTGTGCTCTCTCGCTATCACACTAACTCCCTGTGAGCTAAGTTAAGTTAGCAACATTCCTCCACTAAAAAAAAAAAAAAAAAATCAAAGTTGGAGCGTCGAGAATTCCTTTAAAATCATTAGATTATATATATTTTTTGGAGCTCGCTCGCGTTAGCTCTCTAGCTACACTTACATGCGTTTGTTTACGCTAGCGTCACCGTAACGGGTCTGCAGCTTGTCTGAAACTTTCTTTATTTTTTTGCTCCCGAGTATTAAAAAAAGTAGTTAGCTTTGGTTAGCAGCTAGTTAGCTTAGCTGGCTAGTGCTAGGCTAACAACTTCACAAACTTGGCTAACGAAACCCATATTGTGTTTTTAGTATTTAACACTTACGAGAAAACAAAACGACAAGACTTCCCCAGATAATTTAATCTCATTTAAATTGACTTACTGTGAAAGCGTCGCTGTCTGTCCGCTCCTTCCTACAGCATCTGTCTGTCTAGTAAACAGCTGATCCTCCGCCTCCTTGTAGCCGTTAGCTGCTAACACTATGTTTTTGGCTACCAGTTAGCTAGCTTTTACTAGCATGCTAGGTGGCTAATAGCCTGAAACGTTTAAATAAAAACATCATTCTTTCTGTAAATTTCTCCCGGTGCGGATATTCCTCCCCACCTAACCCGAGCCCGAGCCGGGATATGTGTGGTTTTAGAGCGGTTTCAGTCCAGTTAGCACGGGTTTAACGCTGCTAACGCGTCGGTGCTGCTTCTATTGTTTTCCAGCGGACAGGCAAGGCTACTCCGCCATCTTGGAAACTTTCTCTTTTTTTTTCTTCCCATCAGCGACAGGAGGAATGTCCTTGCTCCCACCTCACCGGTGATTGACAGGATAAGATAGCCAATAGAGAGCGAGGAATACTTAACGTACAACAGAGTGTAATGAATGCGTAATGAATATATAATATATCATATATAAAATGTATCATATGTAAAATGTATAATATACAATGTATAACATAATATACAATGTATACATTATATAACATAAATATATTACTATAATAATAAACTATTTAACATCGTGCAATATTTTTATTAATCTCTGCATTATAACTATACTTTTTCAACAACTACAATATATCTCTGAATATTACTTTTCCGTTAGTTTCCATTGAATATAATTTCTTATACATGTTATATATTAACTCTATTTAATCTGTTGTATTTAACTTTTTATTCTTATTTAATTATTTCTTTAAACTTAATTGTTATTCTATTGTTCAAACACATTTATAATTGTATTCTTGTTTTTCACTATTTTTCTGTTGTAATATAATTTCCTTCGTGATTAATAAAATCCCGTCTTATCTTAATGACGTAGTATTTTGAATTAAGGACTTACTGCAGCATAATGACACCTTTTCAAAATAAGTATATTAAGTTGATTTTTTTGGTAGTTTTTCATAAGGACTTAAAGGGAAAAGTCTTCTTTCTAAGAAATGAATGAAAGTCACATTAATAATTAAGCACTCGTTCTGCCTCTGTTTCCGTTTGGCCTTTTTATTCATCAAAACAAAAGTTGACTGCGTGTCCACACACACACATACACACACACACACACACATACACACACACACACACCTCGGCTGCATCGTCACAGTATTTCTATTCAACGTTGGACCTTTTAGTCCACCTCTCTACATAGTGTGTACATCAGAAACAGGGCTGCAGGACCGACCGTTATAGTTGAAAACACAATGTCAACAAATAAGGTACAGAATTACAGAGTCACGTGAAGTTTGTTTACCAGCAGATACAGTGTTCAGTCTACAGTCTGTTCAGCTTCAGCCAGACACAAAGAGATAACTCTGAGACAAAACCACATTAAAAAGGAGACGAAGAAGAGTATGGCTGAAACATTGTGGATGGTGAACGCAACACTGCTGCTGGAGGCCGCTCAACCTCAAAGAACAACGACTACACGCAGCAGAGCTCACAGCCAACATGTAACTAGCTCTCGTTTACCCTAAAAAAATTAAAAAAAATAAAATGAAGGTTATGGACCTCCAAGTCCACCTCAAGCCCCCCAAAATCTGACCTCACCAACAGCCAGAGAGACCCACCCACTATCATCCCCATCGGCCAATCAGCAGGCTGAACAAGAATCCTGACTTGAATTTAAAATCCACAGAAAACGTACGACACAAAGAGGACACATCAAAGGGAACAAGACTCGTGGAGTTACTTCTCTTTTTATCAAACACCTTCAAGACTCACAAATCCAGCTTTTGTATTTTTATTTCTTTTTTTTTAAGCTCTCCAAAGCTGTACACTGATGCCACACAATGATTCTCGCTTGGTCACAGAAGTAGAAAATCAGGAGTTTGTAGTTTCTTCTGCATTATAAATAACGCTTAAAAGGATTTCAGGATGAACAAAAAAATAAAAAATAAAAAAAAGAACACATAATTCAGGATCTTTACAAACTTGATGATTATTCCTCGCGTGTTCTCACGACAGAAGGTTTTGTCCCGATGTTGACGTTTAGAGGAAAGGTCAGAGGTGATGATTACAGTCTAAACTACTGTGACTTGTAACTCTGTGGTCGTCAAATTGATGAAAACAAAACTAGTTAAAGATTTTCAGCTCTGGTTTTATTTTGGCGACACCTGGTGGTTTGTTTCTTCTGTGATTGGCCGACTCTGCGTGTTTGATATGTTGGGTTTATCGCTTTGCCTTCACTCAAGGTCCACTTACTAGCTTTTAACTGGAGCTTTCACCTGCATCTCAGTCTTCAGCAGATCAAAATTTGCTAAACTGACACTTCTGTCACGAATTATCTTTTGGCAAATTCCATCGCTGGATGAAGACCAAGAGATGCAGCTGAAAGCTTCGGGGGGGGGGGGGGGGGGGGG